TCCAGAAACTTCATCTGTATCATGCTATAAAGCAGACAATTCGATATTCAATAAACTTCTTTCCTAAATATGCTCATGTTATTTACCACAACGCTGTGACTGCTTATATTCGTCTGAACTACTGACGGACACTTTGTTACTTCCAGTGGAGGGAGGAAAGTATCTTACAAACAAAACGGTATATGCTGACGTACTAAATTGTAAGCAAATGACAAGAGATCAACGCAATGAAATCGATCAGTTTGATCCTGTCCCGAATGTTGATCGTGCTATTTTCATGATTGACCAATGTTAAAATGATTTATTTCAGGGTGTACTTTTGACTGTCACTGCCATAGGCATAGATGTAAACAACTAAGTCAATACTGAATGGAGGAATTCTGGTAGTATTTAAACTCCGTGATAATATACATACCCGCTGAAATGAAACAATTAATTCATTTGCTGCCTTCAGTGAGATTTCGTAACTTATCCCTACAGTCATTCAACATGCTACCACTTGGGTGGTACTACAGCTTTAACCGCAAATCTTGAGTACTGCTGTGTAGTTGACACGACAATGATTTGAGGGAATTATCCTTATGAAAGACTCTCTTGCATCCAGTGTCGTCATTTTATTCAGCCTACACTAAGAGATTATGAGAATGTAGGATTAATTTATGACGATGTGTCAAGTAATTTTCTGGTGGAGAACACAGTGTCAACATAATTTGACACCTCTGACCTTCATTACTTTCCATTTCTCAGTGCTAATAAACAGTTCATAGGAGTGAAGAATTGGGTTGTTATGTTTCAACTTACTTGTGGTTAGAGCACCATCAATTTCGTGCTGTTTCTGTGCAATGAGTGCTAGGTTTCACAAACGTCCCTAAACCCTACTCTCCTCAACTTGTTTCTCTAATTAAACAGTTTCAATGACTAGAAAAGGATTGTCATGGATGCAGAGGAACAAATGACACAACTGAAGCATTCATATCAACAGGTTTAAACCATCGCGTGAGAGAGGTGATACTTAAACACATCAATAGGTTACTTTTTTATCATATTGTTAGTTCCTTTCTTACTTATTCTGGCTAACCCTATGGGGTGTTGCCTCTCCATTCATTTTAACACCTAAAGTTTTATACAACTAAGTACAACTAAGTAATAACCTCGCCTGGTTAACTAGTTTACTAGTTACTAGCCGGTCCTAAGCCCGGGTAAAGAGGGAAGGTTGGGCATAGGGCTAGCAACCCTACCCCGTAAAACAAATCTAACCGCTAAAGAAACTTCAAAGCACAAACAAAATATAAAAAGTGAAAACAAACTTATTCCCCGCTGGAATCGGAGAGGCGAAATGACGCCAGTTGGTGAAAGCCTTCGGGAAGCCAATTGGCCGATGTGTCTTCTCTCCCTAGATGAAAGCGAAAGTAAACGTGGGGACATGGAATGTCCGTACGATGTTTGAACCAGTAAGGCAGCCCAGATTGCAAAGGAGATGAGAAGGTATCACATCGAAGTGCTTGGGATTCGCGAAAGCAGATGAAACGGGAGCGGACTCTCCAAACTGTCAACTGGAGAGTCAATAATCTACTCTGGTCACCCAGACGACAACCACGAGCACACTGAGGGAGTGGCTATCATGATGTCCTCAAGAGCATCGAAGGCTCTCATGCAGTGGGAACCAATCTCCTCCGGGATCATGACAACAAGATTCAACTCAAAAGGAAGAAGGTCACAATCATACAATGTTATACACCTACAAATAATGCAGAGCAAGAGAAGGAGGAGGAATTCTACAGACAACTTCAATCAGCACTGGACAAGACGTCAGTTGGCGATATCAAAATTCTAATGGGCGACATGAATGGCAAACTGGGAGGGGACAACACGGGAAGAGAACTAACCATGGGTCGAGAGGCGTTAGGTGAAATGAATGAGAATGGAGAATTGTTTGCAGAATTCTGCGCATTCAACGATTTGGTGATTGGAGGCAGTGTGTTCAGGCACAAAGAAATCCACAAAGCGACATGGATTTCACCGGACACCATCACACACTACACTAAAAATCAAATCGACTTTATCTCAATCTCAAGAAAATGGAGACGCAGTCTACTTAACACAAGGTGAATAAGAGGAGCAGATGTAGGTTCACACCACTATCTAGTGCAAGGAACCTTCCAAATCAAGTTAAAAGTCTTCAAGGAAGCTGGTGATAGACCTCAATTCAAGTACAACACTCGGAAACTGAAGGATGAAACTACAAAGGAGATCTTCAAGGCAGCCATCAAGACAAAATGGGAGATATCGAGGAACATCTGTGAAGAAACCTTTGTGGAAGAACACTGGAAGTCTTTGAAAGCTATGTGGAAAGAAACCTGCATAACAGTATTAGGAAGGAAGAAGAAAGAAGACAAGGAATGGATCTCGACGGATACCTGGAAGCTGATAGAGGAGAGGAGGATGGTGAAGCAGAAGATAAACCAGTGCAAGGATGCACAACGACAAGAGGAAATGAACACAATGTATAAAACACTATGGACAAAGAAGTGAAGAAGAGTGCACGCAAAGACAAAAGACACTTCTACGAAACACTGGCAAGTGAAGCAGAACAGGCTGCAGGTAAGAGAGACCTGACGACATTGTATCAAATAACCAGGTTGCTATCAGGGAAGAGACCAACACAGATGAAACCAATAAAAGATGAAGAAGGAAATTTAATTACAAAAGAAGAGAAACAAAGGAAACCATGGGCCGACCACTTCAAGAAGCTCTTGAATCGACCACCACCTGCACTTCGTCCAGAAATACCACCTGCAGCCGCTGAATTACAAGTGAACATTTATCCCCCAACGAAAATGGAAGTCCTGAACGCCATAAAGCTACTGAAATGTGGGAAAGCAGCAGGACCAGACGGGATACCGCCAGAAGCACTGAGAACAGATGCAGAGACAACAGCGGACATGCTCACACCACTATTGCAGAAGGTGTGGAAGGAAGAGAAGGTACCCGGCCATTGATTGGAAGAAGGGTTACCTTGTCAAACTGCCGAAGAAAGGAGACCTCAGTGCTTGCAAGAACTGGCGCGGAATCACTCTCCTGTCCACCCCAAGTAAAATATTAAGCCGCATCATCCTGGAGAGGCTTAAAGATGCACTGGATTCAAAACTGCGACTGGAACAGGCAGGCTGGATTCAGGAAGTACAAATCATGTGCAGACCAAATTGCAACGCTTCGTATCATCATAGAACAGAGTATAGAATGGCAATCAGCTCTATACCTCAACTTCATCGACTTTGAGAAGGCCTTTGACAGCGTCGACCGAGAAGTAATTTGGAAACTGCTTCAATACTACGGAATACCACAAACCTTTATCCGCCTCATTCAGCAACTATATGAAGATGCCACATGCCAAGTAATTCACAACGGGAAGCTCAGTGATGCCTTTGAAGTGAAGACAGGAGTGAAACAAGGTTGCCTACTATCCCCCATGATTTTCCTTATTGTGGTGGACTGGATCATGCAGCAAACAGTAGGCAGCGAGAAGAGGGGGATACCTTGGCTGGACTGCGGAAAAGAACCTAGAAGACTTGGATTTCGCGGATGACTTATGCCTAATGTCACATAAACTTGAAGATCTGCAGGCAAAAACTAACAAGTTGATAGAAGAGGCAGCTAAGACGGACTTCAGGTGAATATAGAGAAGACAGAAGTGATGAAGATACCGCACCACCACCATCAACAACAACAACAAACTCCAATCACCGTCAACGGGAGAAACTTAAAGGAAGTAACCTCCTTCACTTATCTAGGAAGCACTGTTTCAACTACAGGCGGGACGGACGAGGACGTCAAAGTCAGAATCGGAAAGCAAGACAGGCGTTCATTAGCCTGAAACCAGTGTGAATATCTTCTGCACTCAGCATGCGGAACAAGATACGGATTTTCAACACCAACGTCAAGTCAGTGCTCTTGTATGGTTCAGAGACTTGGCGCGTCACGAAAGGCATTTCCAATAAACTACAGACATTCATCAACAACTGCTTACGCTCGCTGCTGAAGATCAGATGGCCAGAAAGAATAAGCAACAAGGAGCTCTGGGAACGAACCAACCAAGAACCTATCACGCAACAAATATGCAGGAAGAAGTGGAGATGGATTGGGCATGCACTGAGAAGGCCGACTGAGGACATCACGCGCCAGGCCCTCGAGTGGAATCCCCAAGGGAGGCGACGAGTTGGACGTCCAAGAGTGACATGGAGGAGGTCGTGCGAGGAGGAAATGAGAGCTTCTGGGCTGTCGTGGACCAGGTTCAAAAGATCTCAGAGAACAGAGGTCACTGGAGGCGTGCTACTGAAGCCCTATGTTCCACTAGGAACCCAAGGGACTAATAATAAAAAATAATAGTAAGTATTATTGAGTAGTGTAGTTTATGCTTCCTTATAATGTTGCTCCATCCACTGCCTTGACTATTCATTCTATTTTATCATATCTTGCTCACCATTTAACGTCCCTTAATACTGGCATCTTTCCCAGTTCATGATGGCTCTACAATTTCTCTCTCAGTTTCCTGATGTGTTCCATTCTACCTTGAAGATATTTTTTATCTTCAGTGGTTACCTGATCTTGAGAACCTAAGCGCGTCTTTCATATTACCCTCTGGTTGCATGGAAACAGCTTCACTGTGTTTCACGGTTGATGCACCATCTGTGAAGTGCTTTGATACCAATAAACCCGAAAATATCTCATCATTCAAGGCTTTTATTTGATCATTCAATATTGTTTAGCATTACAGAACTGTATTTCAGACAAATCCTGTGTCATGGATATTACGTGTAAATCCAGCGTTTGCTTTAGTATTACGAAGTCAATTCTTCTCTTTGGTTCCCAATTCCTTAGAAATAAATTCATACATATACGCATAGATATGTGCGAGCAATGAAACGGCCTAATCACCTTGTCTTTTAATGGTCTGTTAGCTTGAATGAACTAAGTTCATAAATTGGACTAATAATATCGGCTGAAATATAGGATAACTGTCGATCTACTGAAGCACAGGAAATTGCAAGTAAACGATTGTCGACAATGAAGATGAATAAATACATTTATTAATAATGGAATATTATGGAAATCTAACTAGTTGTACAATGCAAGAAATACTACTTATTTATAAATCGAAGAAAGCAAAGCACAGCACATAACAGACAAGGATTAATTCACATTGTTTAGAATGAATTGTCGGTTAATCATTGTACTTTGTGCTAGTTCATCATTTACATTGAAATACTAGAACTCGATTATGTGCAATACCGTTTTCAATAAATATCTTTGAAGTTGACAATGGAACATTGACTGGTAAACTTGAAATTGATGGATAAACAGCTCTCGGTGTAACCGACGAACAAATGGAGGTGAAGTCTAAAACCGCGTGTCCAAGGAAATAGGATTTGATCAAGGCAACAATGAACGTTGGATAGCCTTCAGCTCTGCGTGCAAACAACCAATAGACATTACCCGATTGCTGAAAAGGATGAAAGACAGAGTGCTTTACTAAGTCAATCGCCTGTAAGACACATTGAATGTAAATGAAAGTGAAGAAGTGGATAGTAGTAATCCTGAAACCACTTGATACATGTCTGTGTATGCAGGTAAGTCTTTTAAGTGTCATATAGTGAATGCATATCATAATACAGGCTGTAACTGATGAGCTCAAGGGAGATCACTCACAAATGCGATATTGTCAAGTTTCACATTGTTGATTGGCATGCAAGCAATGCTCAGTTCTATCTCTGGTGTGATCAACCAATGTGATTGTTGTATTTAATTCTGAAATATAGATACTCGATATGATATCTATACAGTGATGTTCGATGTTGCTTTAAGCTTGATGTGACCTAGTGGTGAAGTATCTGCAGTGATGTGGAGGTAAAACGTGCCATTCTATTTTAATGAGGGGAAACCGGTGAACTCATGGAATCAGCTTTGTTGGGGTGTTAATGCAAACGCTAACGGAAAGTAGAAAGACATGAATTCACCTTACTTCGTCACTGCGTTCAGTTGTAAGCAGACCAACATAACAGTAAACTTTAGTCCGTTCACATAGAAGACCCAAATAAGATATGCTGAAAGTGGGAGTTCATCAACTAGCGAATTGGTTGATAATTATGTACAACAAGTATGTCAGTACTAAAGTTAGAATTAAGGTTACTTTAATGGAGTGATGTGGTACAATTCATAGATGTGATGGGGAGACAAGGTGGGGAAGGAAACTGTTGATTGAGCATTAGGTTGGTGTGTTGTATGCTGAAGAGTGAAAGATTGGACAGAGATAGGAATGAGGAGACTGATTCAGCGTTAGGGTTGGTGCAAATCAAACTGATAATTATTCAGCAGATAATCTTCACTCACTCTACGTTACCTCGTATCCATAAGTTTCAGTCTTTCACTACATAATAACATCGATTTCAATATTCAATTATTTTTTTCATGCTGAAAGTAAGAACACCGGTGTAACTTTCCACTAAACGCCGAAAAATCAAACGTTTCATTCACTTTGTCCATTCCAACGGCATAATCTACAAGAAACGGTATTTGTAACAAGTTACACGTCAACCATCACATAATGCTGTTTGTGACAAATTCAATGCCTTCACATTCTAAGGTATTCAGTCAGTCCTCCAATGCTGGTGATTTCACAGTGAAATCGCACACCTGAGAAATCAGATGGAAGTTGATAGTCTACAAATCAGTATAATTTTCAATTAAATCGTATATAAGAGACGAACATGAGGTGCTATATAACATTTAGTAAATATAAAACACTGAGAATGCCTATACTGTGACTTACATAAATTGGAGGGTCAATCAACTCCATTACTCCCCACTTCAGACTGGGATTTTCACGGAGAGCTACAAGACTCCGAACGAGACTGAGAACTGATTCACCACGTCCTTCAGCTAGGGAAGTCTAAAAGGAGAGAAACTGTGTACATTTCATACTGCATGGAAGTGTTTCGAGTAGAAAACAACTGAAATTTGAACCGTTTTGTTTGATGGTCATTGTGGAGGGGGAGTGTGAACCGGTTAGTCTCCACTGACTTCTTTTATCAACGCCCACATCGATGAACACAGTTAATTAACAAGTACATGCCGAATACAGAAACATGCCTATTCAGTCATAGGCAAAATGATGTATACACACATCTTTCGCGTAAATTCATTCCGAGTAGGATCACATGACGAGTTGAATGCAAGAGACAAGCACATCATGGAGCTTTCATCGCCTTGCTAGACGACATCATCAGCACTAACTTCAGTATGCAGTGAGCTGTCAATATCTCTCCGTGAGTGATTTAGTAGCTTGCTCTGACGATGCGGTCTGTGATTGGTTGTTTCCTTCGATTGTTGTGTCATTGATTGTATTGACTTTTCTGTTGGCTGTTCCTCTGCTTCACAGCCAACAGAAGCAAGGCGATGAAAGCTTCACGATGAAGCAACACAGCCAGCTCAGAGAACACAATACAACCAAGACCATCCACCTGAGCTACAAATATTCCCCATCATTACAAGCACATCAGTCGTGGAGAGTGCAAGCGAAGATGAACGTCGCAAAATACTCGATCATTTATGAGCAAACATAATCTCGTATTTTATGTCACATATGCAAGTGAGCATACACGTGATGAATTAACTGGTCGCCTTTCTCTATATTTCCAATCCTCACATTACTCCGCGAACATTCCCATAAGTGAAGAACAAGTTGATGAAACTGGATTCAAAGTGGTGGTGTTTGGTATGTCTCAGTGACTATTTGGAAGACAGCAGGTGAATTAAGAGAACTGTTAAATGTAGATGATGTACTCAGAATTTCTCGACAATCCGTTCTGATTGTTACACATAGATCACACAAGCTCTACCAGTTGGAGAATCCTGCTACTTTCGCCTCGTGGCTTATCTTCATGTTTCTGCAAAGTGTCAATTGTGCATGAATGAACAATAGGGCAGCAAGTCATCACAGAAGTTGAGATTAATCCTAGCTCAGAGTAAATAACTCATCTATATGGGGTTGGATGCAACTTCCAAAATGCCTTAAGACCATAACTTCTGCTAACTCGTTTTGAACGGAATGCACCATTAGCACTGTCTAAGATATGCACAGATGATTGATGTTGACATCCTGAACACTTTCGGTCTACATTAGTTTGTAGAAACATACCAGCGCTTTCTATTAAGCATGACAATCAGAAATTTGCGATTATTGGGTGCTCAGATTGCTGACCTGTTCTGTCACAGATGATGCTTGATTGATCCCCTGTGACAGGTGATTATTTCATCGAACATAACACTAGTCGTGTTTCGGATGTAGTGAGTGAGTATTCTGAACGACCAAGTACGGTATAGGCTACTCCAAACGAAGATGCAGTAGAAAGTCTATCTCGATATATGAACTTTGACAGCGACGATTACGAAAGTTTCTCGTTGTGACAGCATATCTATTTACCTCTTGATGGGTATTAATATGATGTCAGATGTGCAGGTGGAAGCATTTGAGAGAGATATGCACAGAATGGAAGATTTCACTTACTTCAACTGTGTCCAAATAATCATACTTTTGCAGGTGAGTAATAAAGCTGGAGTCATTGATAGCATTCGAAAATCTCCGTCCGTCCAGACTCCATGGCATAGGTAAATGTGCTAGTGGAGTTTTACTGACACCGAGAAGGGCGTTTTTCGGATAAAAATTATCATTTCTGTACTCAACGTTCAATGCACTCAAGCCCAATTCTGTTCCATAATAGATTATTGAGGAACCTGTGGAAGTGATATCAGAGATGAATGAAATATGTTCATGAAGACTAATTGAGACAAGCATTTTTGTTGTCAACACATTTGTTGGCCCCTCAGCTTGATGTGTATGCACTTATCGTCTCGCCTTATGCTGGGAGAATGAACTCCGACTGACGGACTCTTTACCACCACGATTCTTATCGTCATGCAACTAAGTATGAAATTGTATTCATTTGAAGGTGGACAGATTGACTTGTAACCTCGCTTTAGTTGTAGCAGGTGAGCAAACCATTGTGGGTATTGGGGATAGCCTAGGAGTAGTTAGCGACAAGTCAATCAATGCTGATTGATAGTGTGTGATTGATTACCAAAGGGGTTCGACTTCTTCGGTAATTTTGTAAAATACTGTCAAAAGGTATTCGGTAGCTTATTTTACCTAGAACTAAATGATATTCAAGTGAAAATGTTTGGTTAATCACTAACAAGAGTGAGGAATGTGTAGTGATAGACGAGTTATACCAGCTAAATAATTGTAAATCCTGTTTTCAATCAGTTCATTTTATTTATGTTCATCTGTATGTGTCTATGCTCAGAGTTCTACATGCTAATCTTGCTCGCATTGCAAGTTGATTCCCTGATGATACAGTGCTTACTCAGAGGAAGGAAATCCTAGTCACACAGTCACATGTTTACCTGCAGTATGAGTATCAATAAATTTCATGAGTCTCTTGTCAACCCACCTGGCAATAAAATTGTTGCTGCCAACGCAATCACATCTTTGGATAACAAATCAGATGGAGTTGATATACACAAACCCAATTTCTCCTTTTCATCATCTGCATAACTTGCATATTGACGAATGTTCCGAGCATACCGTGAGTTATACGCTCCCTCATGTTGCTTCGTAATAAATAGTTCACTGATTATTACATCAGCCACATCTCTGAACATCAACATCGGATCACGCTCAGTGATCGAAAAATAGCCAGTATCACCAGAAAACACAGCCAGTAATCTGCATAGAATTTTTGACAGTGAACAGAAGAGAGACATCCATTAGTTAAGATGAAAATATTCAATGAAATGCACGTAACGCATGATCGTGGCACGGATGTAACTAAGCCATAAATGAGTGTTTCATTATAGCTTCAAGATCAACCATATGTATCCATGTAGATGTGAACATCGATGATAGTATGAATCACATTACCAGCTATTCTGTATCCACGTTGGTGAGCCATTCAATCACTTTGTCAGTTAGATGTTCGGCACCGAGCAGAAATTCGTTTAATTCAATGTGGTGATCTCTGTCAATAAAGTAATCTGGCCACTTGCCTAACCTTGTCTCAGGCAGATATCCTACCACAGCAAACACACGGCTTTAAAACAGATTCAGAGTAGGCAGTCAAGTCGGAAAGCATCGGATCGGATCGAATCGCGTGGTTCACTCACCTGATTCCCTGCCAATAATATTCCGCCTTTAGGCGTGATTCAAGGTTGAAACCAGACGGCTCTCAAAATAATGATCAACACACTCACTTTTCTTTGCCGGTCTTCTTACTCCATTCATCAATTTCCTGTCGTACGCGTCCAACAAACGTCACACTTTCATTTCTATACAGCTGATGAATTGGATAACCTGTCAACCACGGTTCCTGTGTCTAAAATATACAGAAGGCATTCGAGATGACAACAATGATCACTGTGATGAAAGAGTGCCTACCGTGCCTCGTGCTCCCATCTCCGCATCACTGTCTTCAACGAGAAATGCACAGTTGTCAAGGAGAATTCCATCGACTCCCTCCTTCATCCAGTAACCGATCACATCCTAGTGAAGAAGCGACCTATTAGTGTGGAAGAGGAAGCCTACCAGTATTGCTCTCTGAGTATCTGAATCCATCAAATCTAGGTCTACACTTGGTGATCCAAATACTGAATAGTACTTCTGACCGTCAACCATAACATCTAATGGTTTTCCGTATCGAGTATACTAAGAAGCAGATGAAGTACAAATATATGATCAAGTGGGACAAATTTCCACTTACCCTGACACCCACATTCTCTGGAAACTTCGCCAACTTCACCTTACCTTCGACAACCCACTTATGATTGCTGGATACTGAATTGAAATCTAAGGTCAGAATGACCTTCAAATCCTCCTTATGGAAACGTTTAATTAGAAGTCGGAAATCTTCCATCGTGCCAACTGCTTCATCTAACTCTTCGTAATCTTCCACTAGCCCAATTACGTTATATGAGTTTGTATAGAAGCCTTTTGTAATGGAGTCGAGTATCACATAACCAGCACCAATTACGTTTTTGATATAGTCCACCTCTGACATGAGACCTGTTCAGACAAATCACAAAGAATGATGAGGATGATAAGGTGATTTCGATTACCAGTTAGATCACCGACAAGGTCACCAGAGGAATCTTTGAAGGCGAAAACATCCAGCCAATAGCCAACAGTCGACCTCCAGAATGGTAACTTCGGCTTATAAGCACATTTAGGTCCTAGAGACATGTATGCAATGGATCCAGCTAACAGGCCGAGACAGATAACACTGAAACCAATCAACAGCCCAATTCGAATGCGCCACCATATCGGTTCATTCTTGTCTAGCTGGACTAGATCTTCACGCGTGAGTGGACGAAATTCTTGCAGACAGCCATCCGATGGGCGGTTTGGAGCATCGCTTTTGTAATTCAATTTCTCCGTCTTCTTGTACTTCTCACTCACCTCCGCTTCCTTCTTTAGCACTTCTGAGCTCTTCCGGTATAACTGGTCGACTTTAGGTTGTCCATCATTTTCGGAGTTCTCAATAAACACGACAAAATCACTCATCTTCCGGATTTACACGTATCTTCGTACTGGTGACTGAACACAGTGAAGTCAGTTTAGGTAGTCGTTAGTTGTGATTTACTGTCCTCTCACTTCCCAGTTTATATAGTAATTTTTGGTGTGACATAAAGTTTTCTAATTTTTGCAGAGAAAAGTCAACCACAAAGAAAAAAGAAAACCAGATATGTGTGTGCCAACCATCTTCAACTGGTGATTGGATACTTAACTAATGAGAGAGACATTTTAATGTTGTGTGCCAATTAATTAATTAGATAATGCATACTGCTTTGAATGAAGATATGAAGTTAAGTCACTAATTGGCATGCATTTTTCAATAGAGAACACGTGCTTGCTACACATCTCTGATAACTGAGAACCATAGGAAACACCACAATAAACATTTATGTCAGAGCAAGACACCTATGGGATTAGTTTTGAGTGATTTCATCTAATGGATTGGTTAAGGCGACTTCTTGAAAAGGAATCGAGCATTGTCGTTTACAGCCATGTGCATGCAAGACAGACAGTTTTGTGGACGAGGTGGTTGCGTTGACGTCCAGTTAGCTACACACTAGTTAGGTTTAATTGAAATCAAATGGTATGCTCAAATGAATTAAATTGATAGGAAAGAACGAATGGTTCATCTGACCTAGTGAAACTATCGATTTCACGAGGCAGTCTATCACACTCCAAGCAAGATGAAATTCACTGTGATAAAACCACAGACAATACGAGAGATGACCAACAGTCAGTCAATTCTTACCAGCTGATATGATAGTTTCCTGAGTGGAGAGTTTGCAAAAGTCAATTCTGACAGATGGATAAGTGCATGCTTCGAGAACATGAGTGGTAGTGGAATGCTTTGAGATGTCAGTTGGAATAACCTCATGAAAACTAAATAAAATGTTGCTAATTCGAGAACGCGATATGTTATCATCAACAAACTGTGAGACATCAAATGAGTTTTGACATTCGTGTACAAACATGTTGGTGTTGGTAGACTGTCAGAAATAAAGAAAACGATACTGATGGGTTGTGTTCTCTGTCTGCCTGTGCATCACATATCTGCAACATCTCGTAGGCGGCATTTATACAGTGGGAGAAAAGACCAAGCGATTGTTGAGACAGATTTCACCCACTACATCATTGAAGTACTTTCCTGCTGATATGCATGCATAGTCGTGTTTCACTGGTCGAATGACGATAACTTCTATGAGGAATTCATGAGAATTATTGATGAAGTTCACGAAACAGTGGGTGTTGATTACCTACCAAAATTCCATTGGAATGAGTGTCGTTCAGAGTCAGTTTACCTGACAGATGGCTCGGTAATGAGATGCACATTTGAAGAGTGACTCGATGCAAGGTGAGATTTGTGAAAAACAGAGAGGAGTGATCTGCAGTAATATTACATGGATATCTGAATCGCTCCCGTCAACATGACTTTTGTCTGAAGAGAAATCTGAAGGAGTGATTTCTGATGATGGATTTAACATCATGATCCTGTTTCGTAGGGTAGCTGTGAATAAACTTTGAAGGTTGATTGTCTTCCATGCTAACACGTACTGATCAATAATTTGTAATACACTAAGGTCATGTCGCACACACTGAGTGGGAGTTTTTCTCACCTGAGTATGGGAATAGTCAGAGATTGATGACAGTGGCGTGTTTACCAATGAATTCGATCTGCATTCAAGAAGAGGGTAGCAAGAGTTGCTTGGTATTCAATGAACTTTGCCTTTTGTGCATGGAAGCTTCATCGTCAAGCTGGATAACACATATCCAGTTACATCGTAAGGAAACGATTACGTTTATAATTGGGAGAAGTTTCAATCTTCAAACTGATGGAAGTGTAGATGAGACTGATTTTCTGTTACATGATGGTTGTTTCCTTGATTTCGATATTTTCAGTGCAGGAAAGGATTCTTGTTGGCATGGATATATGACGTCTTTCATTGACAAGAGATTTATTACTCAATACAAGTTGGTGTTCATCACAGAGTGAGAGGGGTTGGAGAACCATTTGAAACCTTGAGAGCAGCTGTTTCGCCGCAGTATGAGAGTGGTCAGATATGTGCTAGCCTAACACCATCAGAGTTCGACTGCGGCATCTTCAGGTTTTGTGGCAGTCACGCACCCATAGAGCAAGTAGGCTGTAGCCAAGTGATCCATATTTACAAGAACAAGGCATGTATCAGCGAAGAAATATTTCTTTTCAACGACTTCATTATCAAGCTGTACAGTCGTATTTATACTGATTAAAGTGAACAGATAGTTGCACTAAAAAGTTGCTCAGTGAATATGCAAAATATACAATCGGTCGAGGGGTGGTGGTATTTGTTCAAGTGGAGGAGATAGAAAATGGGTCACTGAATAAGGAGGAACGAATTGATAACAAGTGGTGAGATAAGCGACAAGTGCTGTCAAAGAATTGTAAAACGGTGATAATTAAGCTGAAACGTGTACAATAGGTCAATGATTTGGGAATGAATTGATATTAAAAAGTGAAATATGGTTCAAGTGTTGTCAGTGAAGTGATAATTGGTGATAAAAGAAGAGAAGTATAACAAAGTGAAATGAACTGAAATTGACAAAATCAACGAAACAAATTGTTAAGGCCAAGGTAGAGAAAGTGGTTTCACAAAACATTTTTGAATGCAAAGTTTCGGTTTTTGTTCATGTATAGCTAATGCTTCAGCTATGCATAAGTGGTGGAAGCGTAAACCTTTGGAGTGGTTCAATTTGACTTTGTAAATTATTTTGAAGGATGAATCTCGAGGTGCTGAGTGTCCACATTCAACAAGGTGTTCACATATGGATGAAGTCATTTTCCTATGCTCGCCTCTGGTGAGCCAAACTGGGTAGTGTTCAGCAACACGTTTTTGGGAGGGCCCGCTTACAACGTCCAGTATAGTGAGCTCCACAGGAGCATGTCGACTTGTAGATACACATAGAAGTGGACATAAGTGGAAGCCTATCCTTCACCATTGACGAATCAGACGGCGGCTGGAGAATATCAATCTCAATCTAGCAGCATAGAAGCTACTATTGATACACCTTGACAGACGATTTTTCAGCACTTCCGCTGTGGTGTCTCCTTTGAATTCTAGATTCATGGTTAAAATTTTCTTGGGGACTGTAATGGGATGGGGAGTGGTTCGTTTCTTCAGATTCTTATCAATAAACCTCTTAGGGTATCCGTTATTAGATAGTATTATTCTAAGAGTTTCGATTTCAGCATCCACCGTATCTACTGAACATATCCCATAGATTCCAGAACACAGTGAGTGAATGAGATTTCTCTTACAACCAAGAGGTATCCAACTATAAAAGTTAGTGAACTGACCATTCCAAGTTGGTTTTCGATAGACTGACCTTTGTATGGAGCCATCATCCCTTCTCTTTAACCTTACGTCTAGAAAGTGGAACGATGAGTTTAACTCTTCTTCTACAGTGAATTTAATGGACGGGTGACAATCATTGAAGCGTCTTAACAGCTCGTCCACTAAACAAGTTTTGTCGCAAATAAGAAAAGTGTCATCCATGTACCTTTTATACAAATAAAGTTCCGAAATTATTTCTTTAAGGGGCCCGTTTTCCAGCTTTGCCATAAAGATATCAGCCAGAACAGGCCCTAGTGGAGACCCCATTGCAACGCCGTCCGTCTGATTATAAATTATATCATTGAATCTAAACTCTACATCTCAATATTAGTTCTTTTAGGTGGCTTGTAGGTAATCCAGTGTTAATATTATTAGAATCAATGTAATCACATAGATAACAAACGGTTTCAACAAGTGGAACATTGGTAAATAAAGAACAAACATCAAGCGATATCATACGCTTATCAACGTGATGACGTTGATATCTCCGATGCAGTGAAAAAGACCGAATGTGTCGGGAAGACTAAACTTGCATAGATTTAATCTCACCGGTTCAAGCATTTTTGCAAGCCACTTTGCTGATGAGTGAATAGGTGAATTAAGCATATCCAGTACTGGACGAATTGGAAGACCATCTTTATGCAACTTGGGCAGACAATATAAACGGGGCATGTTTGAACCAGATGGTCTAAACTGCTCATACATATCTTGGGTAATTAATGATTCTGCTTTCAATTTTCTGAAGATTTTTGATATTTGATTTTCAACATCTTCTGTTCTATCCTTCTGATCTCCGGAATTTAGAAATTTATTGTCATAGCTGAGAATTAGGCATAGTTTATCAATATAATCCAACCGATCCAGAACCACAATACCCGATCCTTTGTCTGGGCGTACAAATATAATATCTTTGTTGTTTAGTAGTTTTTTCAATTGTGATTTGTGCTCTTTGCAAACAATACCTCCTTGTCGGTATGGTGTTTTCAAATATTGATAGCAGCAATGTAATAATGTGGATTTGAAACGTTCGAAGCTTTCGGTGGACGTCGGGATTAAGTCTCTAGTCCGGCTGATAAGATTTTCAAATTGCACTTTTGTGTCAAGTTCTCTGGTTTTAGATGAAGCACAACAAAACTTTGGTCTCAAAGACAAAATCTGTAACTGAATGTTTGATAGAGTTGTGCTGGAGTGGTTAAACACGTATCTCTCTGGTGCATCTGGAAAATTGTCTTGTGACTCAGCAGTTTTATTACATTGCTCCCAATAATATTTGAAAACACCATGCCGACATCAAGGTATTGTTTGCAAAGAGCACAAATCACAATTGAAAAAACTACTAAACAACAAGGATATTATATTTGTACGCCCAGACAAAGGATCGGGTATTGTGGTTTTGGATCGGTTGGATTATATTGATAAACTATGCCTAATTCTCAGCTATGACAATAAATTTCTAAATTCCAGGGACCAGAGGATAGAACAGAAGATGTTGAAAATCAAATATCAAAAATCTTCAGAAAATTGAAAGCAGAATCATTAATTACCCAAGATATGTATGAGCAGTTAGACCATATGGTTCAAACACGCCATGCTGAACAATTATCAGTTTGATTTGCACCAACCCTAACGCTGAATCAGTCTCCTCATTCCTATCTCTGTCCAATCTTTCACTCTTCAGCATACAACACACCAACCTAATGCTCAATCAACAGTTTCCTTCCCCACCTTGTCTCCCCATCACATCTATGAATTGTACCACATCACTCCATTAAAGTAACCTTAATTCTAACTTTAGTACTGACATACTTGTTGTACGTAATTATCAACCAATTCGCTAGTTGATGAACTCCCACTTTCAGCATATCTTATTTGGGTCTTCTATGTGAACGGACTAAAGTTTACTGTTATGTTGGTCTGCTTACAACTGAACGCAGTGACGAAGTAAGGTGAATTCATGTCTTTCTACTTTCCGTTAGCGTTTGCATTAACACCCCAACAAAGCTGATTCCATGAGTTCACCGGTTTCCCCTCATTAAAATAGAATGGCACGTTTTACCTCCACATCACTGCAGATACTTCACCACTAGGTCACATCAAGCTTAAAGCAACATCGAACATCACTGTATAGATATCATATCGAGTATCTATATTTCAGAATTAAATACAACAATCACATTGGTTGATCACACCAGAGATAGAACTGAGCATTGCTTGCATGCCAATCAACAATGTGAAACTTGACAATATCGCATTTGTGAGTGATCTCCCTTGAGCTCATCAGTTACAGCCTGTATTATGATATGCATTCACTATATGACACTTAAAAGACTTACCTGCATACACAGACATGTATCAAGTGGTTTCAGGATTACTACTATCCACTTCTTCACTTTCATTTACATTCAATGTGTCTTACAGGCGATTGACTTAGTAAAGCACTCTGTCTTTCATCCTTTTCAGCAATCGGGTAATGTCTATTGGTTGTTTGCACGCAGAGCTGAAGGCTATCCAACGTTCATTGTTGCCTTGATCAAATCCTATTTCCTTGGACACGCGGTTTTAGACTTCACCTCCATTTGTTCGTCGGTTACACCGAGAGCTGTTTATCCATCAATTTCAAGTTTACCAGTCAATGTTCCATTGTCAACTTCAAAGATATTTATTGAAACGGTATTGCACATAATCGAGTTCTAGTATTTCAATGTAAATGATGAACTAGCACAAAGTACAATGATTAACCGACAATTCATTCTAAACAATGTGAATTAATCCTTGTCTGTTATGTGCTGTGCTTTGCTTTCTTCGATTTATAAATAAGTAGTATTTCTTGCATTGTACAACTAGTTAGATTTCCATAATATTCCATTATTAATAAATGTATTTATTCATCTTCATTGTCGACAATCGTTTACTTGCAATTTCCTGTGCTTCAGTAGATCGACAGTTATCCTATATTTCAGCCGATATTATTAGTCCAATTTATGAACTTAGTTCATTCAAGCTAACAGACCATTAAAAGACAAGGTGATTAGGCCGTTTCATTGCTCGCACATATCTATGCGTATATGTATGAATTTATTTCTAAGGAATTGGGAACCAAAGAGAAGAATTGACTTCGTAATACTAAAGCAAACGCTGGATTTACACGTAATATCCATGACACAGGATTTGTCTGAAATACAGTTCTGTAATGCTAAACAATATTGAATGATCAAATAAAAGCCTTGAATGATGAGATATTTTCGGGTTTATTGGTATCAAAGCACTTCACAGATGGTGCATCAACCGTGAAACACAGTGAAGCTGTTTCCATGCAACCAGAGGGTAATATGAAAGACGCGCTTAGGTTCTCAAGATCAGGTAACCACTGAAGATAAAAAATATCTTCAAGGTAGAATGGAACACATCAGGAAACTGAGAGAGAAATTGTAGAGCCATCATGAACTGGGAAAGATGCCAGTATTAAGGGACGTTAAATGGTGAGCAAGATATGATAAAATAGAATGAATAGTCAAGGCAGTGGATGGAGCAACATTATAAGGAAGCATAAACTACACTACTCAATAATACTTAGTTGTATAAAACTGTAGGTGTTAAAATGAATGGAGAGGCAACACCCCATAGGGTTAGCCAGAATAAGTAAGAAAGGAACTAACAATATGATAAAAAAGTAACCTATTGATGTGTTTAAGTATCACCTCTCTCACGCGATGGTTTAAACCTGTTGATATGAATGCTTCAGTTGTGTCATTTGTTCCTCTGCATCCATGACAATCCTTTTCTAGTCATTGAAACTGTTTAATTAGAGAAACAAGTTGAGGAGAGTAGGGTTTAGGGACGTTTGTGAAACCTAGCACTCATTGCACAGAAACAGCACGAAATTGATGGTGCTCTAACCACAAGTAAGTTGAAACATAACAACCCAATTCTTCACTCCTATGAACTGTTTATTAGCACTGAGAAATGGAAAGTAATGAAGGTCAGAGGTGTCAAATTATGTTGACACTGTGTTCTCCACCAGAAAATTACTTGACACATCGTCATAAATTAATCCTACATTCTCATAATCTCTTAGTGTAGGCTGAATAAAATGACGACACTGGATGCAAGAGAGTCTTTCATAAGGATAATTCCCTCAAATCATTGTCGTGTCAACTACACAGCAGTACTCAAGATTTGCGGTTAAAGCTGTAGTACCACCCAAGTGGTAGCATGTTGAATGACTGTAGGGATAAGTTACGAAATCTCACTGAAGGCAGCAAATGAATTAATTGTTTCATTTCAGCGGGTATGTATATTATCACGGAGTTTAAATACTACCAGAATTCCTCCATTCAGTATTGACTTAGTTGTTTACATCTATGCCTATGGCAGTGACAGTCAAAAGTACACCCTGAAATAAATCATTTTAACATTGGTCAATCATGAAAATAGCACGATCAACATTCGGGACAGGATCAAACTGATCGATTTCATTGCGTTGATCTCTTGTCATTTGCTTACAATTTAGTACGTCAGCATATACCGTTTTGTTTGTAAGATACTTTCCTCCCTCCACTGGAAGTAACGAAGTGTCCGTCAGTAGTTCAGACGAATATAAGCAGTCACAGCGTTGTGGTAAATAACATGAGCATATTTAGGAAAGAAGTTTATTGAATATCGAATTGTCTGCTTTATAGGCATGATACAGATGAAGTTTCTGGAACAGACTGTAGAGGTTCCAGGCGAAATGTTGAGACGCATATGTAAGAAGATTGTAAGCCACCAGACGATAAGTTACTAGGCAAAACATTAAAATATCAGTTAAGCTTCATCATGTGATATATATGCATATTATGCAAACCAGTAGGGCTTTAAAGAAGATAATGTAGCAAAACAGAAGTGAAACGATAAACATCTGCATGATAGAGTGAAATCAAAATTAGGAACAGGTTACCACTGTATGTGCACGCTGCTTACGACTTTTTCTGGAACACATACATCGGGTTCAAGGGGATTGATAACTTCAACTAAGGTGAAACTCTGGAGAAGTAACCTTATTTACTCTCTTATTATCTCGAAAGGACTCAAGACGTTGACCTGGTATCTTGTCATTCAAGTGGCGAGAGAACATCTCAGTATGTTTGTTCTAATATTAAAGTTTCCCAAAATATCTTGTGAAAATTTCAGCATTTAACGCATTGAAGGTTCCATATGAAGTTGATGAATTTCAGCTGGCTCACAACATTTCATTTGTTGATTAAATTCTCAAAAGCTCTACCTTATTTCTCAGTGTTTTTTAAACTGATTTCGTCTATAAATTATGAGATTTCACGATGCCTTGAAGGTTTCCAATAGAAGGGGATGAAATGTAGTTCACTTCCAACTGCATATGCTAGTCGGTCAGTATGAGTTATTGCAACTCATTCACTCACTGTGAGCATATAAAATTCATGTGAAATCGAGACAGGAGAAGGGACTTCAAAATTGATGCAGGTGAGATGATTCGTCAACTCTTTTGTGGGGTGAGCAGGAACATCCTTGTTGTCAGCATTTCTGTTAAGCTAAACTAAGTCATCTGCATATACTGACGCTACTGGCGAAGATTTCGCTTTGTGAATGATCTCGGAGATGTTCATCGGCTACCAATAAAGGATGTTCATCCACACATGTTCATGCACAACAGAGTTTGATTAGGCTTGAGACGTTGGAAATCCATAGAGAACCTCACGCGATGTAATCATGTCAGATTGAACCTGACTGATCCTCATAGACTCATTGTTACACATCTCTTCGTATGCATCAAATGTCTTCCCCTGCCAAGATATTTGCACCCAAGTTAACTTAGTTATCTGGTTTGTTTTTTCTGTCATTGTCACTGTGAATGACTCTGCTTGTTCTTTCCACTTTCTTCACTGTGACTGGTTGGACATTCATCCATCCATCCATCTATCCATCCAAATGAACACCAGGCATGAACCAGGCATTAGTGCATAACGGTCCAAGTTGCCACAGTTCATATCAGTACATCAAGTGAAAAGGCAGTGAAGTGGAGGATAAGAAAATTTAGTCAAAAGAAATATCAAGTACTAACAGAGAGAAAGGAAGAAAGAGAAAATGGTCAGATTCGGCATAGCGTTAAGATGAGAATAATGTGTGTATACTGATTGGATGATTTTATTTTATCACCATATATCATCACTCTTATCGCACCTTCTTGGAGAGAATTCTGTCCAGTCCTGTTTAACCGTTTACTTTCACTTCCTTTCGAATTTCTTAACCCCGATACCCAATCGCTCAAATTCAGTCACCCAGAATCTACGTCTCTTCATGTGTATAACTTTTGTCTTGTCAGTCAGCATAAAACCAATTATCACTCATCTGTTAGAACACAAAATGTATTTCTGAAAGTTTGCTGACACTTTAAAATCTAACCTAGATAACATTTCGCTTGTAATTGAGCATTTCAAAACAGTCACTAGACAGAATAATATGTGGTACAGTTTACCTAGGGAAGGAAGCAAATGAATCAAACACTTTAACTAAGTTTACAGGGACAGCTTAACTCTGAATTACACGATTGTATTATCAGAAGCATCCCCAATACTACAACTAAAACTACAGACATAATGGAACCCCTTAATATATATAAATGATTTCCAACTACAAAGATAAAGAAAGAGGCTACACCTGCTTTTGCTGTTTTTCTATCAAATCTCAGATAGTAGCGATATGAAGATGTCGTTAGTTTGTGAAGAAAATGGACTATGATGAAAGCTTACTGAATCATCTTGAAATCTGAACGCTAAACGAACAAAAGATTTAACTTAAAAGTTTGAAGACCCACATCAACAAGATCACCTTCAATAATGAAAACAAGACTCAAATGAGGAATATATGTTACCACTTCTCAACATTCCATTGTTTTTCGAAGGAATTAAACTATGCTCATACAAAAATAACTGTTCAATAAGTAGGAATTATCGGTCCCATTCACTCATTTGACTATTTCATCATATGAACATTTATCTATCCTCGAACTGCTCAAATTTGTAGACGGTCATAATGACAACGAATATCTGGACAGACAGCGAAGTCTAAGAGATCAAATCACCTATGACTATAAAGTGCTAAGCAACAGACTTCTATAGTACTTCATCTAACAGTGAATTTATCAGCATTGATTGGTCATGGGATTGCATTCAGTTTCACATTGCCTAGTCCTGAGTGCACTAGCGTGACCAATCAATGCATGTAAGCCAGTCCTACAGGAGGTCAATCGCGGCGCGAACAGTTCAGTGGTAAAGTCTCTGACTACAATACTGAGTGACGTGGATTCGGATCTCAGGCGCGACATCAGTTCCGTCGATGTTGTAGATACACCTTGCTGACGAGTGTTAAAATGCATGAAACCTAGGTCAAGGGCTTCCTGCCGATTGTCTCCAACCAACTGACAGTGAATTTATCTCCCTGATAATACTGTATACCTTAACACTAACAGTATGAAAAACTCATTACCATTGGTCTGCAGCACTTTAAATGTTGATTACTTTGCACCACAATATCTAATCCTGATGGCATAAATCTACATTGGTGTGAATGATAACACTTGAATAGATATTCACTTGGATTACATGGAAATTTGCAGATTATCGAAATCGTTGGTGTGGGTTCTTTTGGTACCCAAAGCTATAGGCATAAGAATTTATGGTAAAATAGACGTTTATCAAGCGTCACGGGGCATTGCGAAGACGAGTTAAACATGTCGACTGCTTGTAATGGAAATTTGGAATTATGCTCCACCTTGGTGCCACTAATGGTGAAAAAATAAAGTATGACTGAAAACGACCTAAACTTTAACATTCTGCTTATGCTGAAAATTGGTATTTTTTTGTTCATTTCATAACTTGTGGAATCTTCTGATGTTTTTAATAGAATTCAGGATCCGTAAAACCTTGTAGATTTTTCAACATATATCAATGTGATGATTGCTTGTAAACTGGCTTCTCTCATGTTAAATTACGAATATGGGAATAAAATATTTGTTTACTGATTATTGATTATTTTATAGGAGCCAGCTCACCATACTCGTGTTCTGCATCATTCGTGGGTGAACCTAGAATATCCCGCCCTTTTAACAAACTTCATTGAACACCATACTGTTCTCAACCACGCTTGACTTATGATTATAACTTGTGCCCTGATAATCAGCCGTTCGTGGTTAACCAGACCTTTTATGATCCTATGAGACCCACTACTGATAGTCAGGCTGATAACTGAAGACGGCAGCATGGAGAGTCTAATAATATGTGGGATTAGCACTATGTCAATGAAGACAGTAATGTGGCGCCAGGAATTCTAGGCCGACCCCTTATTGCTCGGTAACCATAAGAAAGACTGCGATCTGGCTTGTTCGTTGATTAGAAGCATTGAATGGGGAACATAATTCAACACGGTTGATCTAGAACTGCCACCAACTACACCGTACTCTAATTTCTAGACTTGCCTTAAAATAATAGCCCCTCTGAAAAAAATTGAAAAACCCCTTGTCCAAGAAGCCTTTTAGACCTCAGAATATTCGTCGAAAACTGTACACATTCTCGACAAATCACTTCAAGCATCATGACTTTGGAGAGCTTAGATCTCTTCTCAATGTCCTCAGTTCCATTTCTAATGATCAAGGGATGCTAGCCGAAAATAATGAAAACACTGCACTAACTAGCTCCTCCAAATTATGTACCCTAGTGGGACTCCTAAAGAAGCGACCGAACTGGTCTCTCTCTACTCACGATACTAAGGTCTATAATAAGCCTGAGAAAATAAGCGAATTATTCAATAACACGTTCGCTGCTAGCTACACACAGTCAGCAGTCTCCAGCAAAAATGTGACTTTTGCTAAAATTAGCTACCGATTCTCCCATCGAATACTGGAACCTATTGGCAATATTCAGTTCATATGTGCTAACATAAATCGAGTCCTTGAAGCCCTTGAGTTTTCTAAGAACCCAGGTATTGACGGAATAGTTGCATACTTCTTTAAAAATGGGGGTCCGACATTTCCTTACTACTACTACTACTACTACTACTACTACTACTACTACTACTACTACTACTACTACTACTACTACTACTACTACTACTACTACTACTACTTACTACTATACTACTACTACTACTACTACTACTACTACTACTACTACTACTACTACTACTACTACTACTACTACTACTACTACTACTCAAACTCTACTCCATATCTGTGTAGACTTCTAGATACCCCGATTTATGGAAGATGTCCTTCATAATACCTACACACAAATCTAGTTCAAAAACTGAAGTGAATGACTACAGGCCTATAAATATCACGCCAGTTGTCTCTGGAATTGTGGAGAAAGTATTCAAATTCGATATTCTTCAACACATGCTCAACAATAATGTCATCATACCTAGTCAGCATGGATTCTTGAATTCGTGGTCATGTATGACCAGCCAGTTCGATTTCTTTCACTTGTTGACCGCTAGCTGTGGTCAATGTAAGTTAGTCCAAGGTATTCAACCGCGTGGATTATTCACTGCTTATCCAAAAGCTATAAGTCCTTAAACTTGTCAACCCACTATTAAATCTTTTCTTTATAGCCATTCACAAGTTGTAAAAATCGAATCTCAGCTTTCTAAACCTAGACGCATTACTTCTGGCCTAGTTCAGGGTAGCGTGTTCGGTCGTCTCCTCTTCACCCTTTACTTTAATCACCTTTGCAAATGCTTTCCAGTTGGTGAACCGTTTTTCTTTGCCGATGAATCAAAGATTGCATACAAATTCTGGTGTGACGATCTGCCCCACTTCCAAGGACTAGTACAGAGCGAACTTGACCTAGTAAACACTCGCAACCCACATTTCAACTTGGATAAGTGTGATTGGATATACTTTGGTGCACCTTCTACAATTGTTTCTCCAAACTGCAATGCTACCTAGTTTCCGTAGTGTCCTCGACTTAATCCTCAGTTACTCTAATGACCTCACATTCTCTGAAGATGTTGTGGCACAAACTCGTAAGTCCAGAATACTACTAGGCTGTATAATTCGTAACTTTCGTAACCACGAAGCCAAATTATTGCTATAAAAAGCGTGCATCCCACCCCTGTTAGAATACTGTTCGTTTATTTTGGGGAGCATCCGTATAGATGACAAACTTAAGATTGAGAGTGTTCAGAGGTACTTTACACCTGAGCTACTTGGTTATGAGTGTGGTCAGGATTATGCATCTCGATGTACATCCCTTAATCTACGACCACTTTAGATGACACGTCTTAAGACTAAACTTGCATTTTTCTTCAAACTTTTACACAAAATATCCTTTACAGTTAGTGAGGAATTCCGCTTCACACTACGTGTCACACCATCTCTGTAGCTTGTCAAGATCATTTTATGTGGTGGTGTTTACGCTGCCACACTGGTTAGGGTGAAAGGTGTACACTTCTTTCAAGTCATCTGAAAAGAGGAAGGTTTTCCCTGATTGAAGCAGGCGCATATATCATTTATACACATTATAAAGAGAAGAGGTCCCAGAACTGAGCCTTGGATTACTCCACTGGTGATATTTCTGGGAAGGGAACGATATGAGCCTGTTTTGACAACTAGAATGCTGTTCAATAGAAATCAGCCAATCTAATCATGCAACCTGACATTTATCCAAAATGAATTCAGTTTATGAAGGAGTTAGGGGTGATGCACTTTGTCATAGGCTTTCGCAAAACTGAAGTAAAGAGGGGAAACCACTTTTCCACCGTCTCTGCTGTTAATTACGCATTCGGAGAATTCTAGGTGACAAGTGATAGAAGATTTCTTAGGCAGAAATCCATGCTACGAGCAGCTCAAACATTTGTGATATGACAGGTGAGAAATGACGGTGTTTTTCACTACTTTCTGCATTATGCTTAAAAAAGAGATGTTATGTTGATGGGGCGATAATTTTCAGACCGAGTCTGGAACCTTCCTTAAATCACGGAGCAGTAGGACTAGTCTTCTATGAAACTGGGAAAATGCCAGAGTGTAAGGACAGGTTGAATATTTTTGCTAGCAATGTGGGGAAGTCTGCGCTGTCACTTTCAATGAAAATACCAGGTATCCCATCTACTCCCTCACTAAGAGAGGGTTTAAGTGATTTTATTGCATCATGTGCGTTGTTTAGATTAAACTCAACTCCCGAGATTAATATGCTCCAGTGTCACTGAATAATACAAGGCTGTGATTACAATCAGAGAACAAAAGACGAAACATTGCGTCTCGTAGTTCACATTCCTCTGTGAGGTCTGTAAAAATCTTCTTGTCTACTCTCAACATATTCAGAAAGTTAGGTCCATTTCAGAGCTTCTTCTTAAGAGAAGTGGAGAGAAGACCAGTTTTTCATATTTTCTGGAATTTTATTCAAAGTAAATGTTTCACTTTTTCGTCTGCAAAATCCCAGGTCACTGAAAACCACATGAATACTAAAGATGGCAGGAAAGTGATGGTTTTCACAAATAATATTTCTCTCAGTTTCCTTAGTTTTCACTTGAATGTGATAGGGATGTACTTATTGATGTTCATTCATATTATGCTGTTTTGCTTTCTTCTGTGCTACGGAGTCGAGAGAGAAATATAAATTGAGATAGAAGTTTATAAGAGAGTTGTTCAGATCATCGGATGAAAAGAACTCGTTGCAATCTGGACAGCGTATTGAGTAGTTTAAGCATACCCAGTTGACGTCAACAAAATTTCTGCTACCATTTAGAAAGACAGAAGGTGGATCAGCCAATAAATATAATTTTGAACAGCGAACTATCCATGTATGTGCCGTATTTCCCGTTGTTTTGGTCATCGGTCTTTCGACGTCAATACATGTCTCTACAAGTTCATCGCTTCTTTGCTATTAGTCAGTCAGGTTGGGAATCAACTAGGAATTCGTTGAATGTTGGTGGCTGACAGACGACATTCATGCACCGTTAGCGAACACAGATGTCTTCCAATCATAACACTCCCAATTAATCAAACAAGTCGAAGCAACAAGCATACTGAGTGCACAAACAACTACTTCTTGTTCAATCTCTTCCACTCCTTATTTCCATGATGCTTTCACATGTTCATTAAACACGATTCTCATTTCCTCCAGATAGCTTTATTGTGCCTGTTAATGAACACAAAATTTCAGTGAGTAACATAACGTGCACTATTTGTGTGTGATGTGAAATCTTCTCACTTTCAACCTGGGAATTGCCACTAACTTGGATGAAGAGGAGGTGGTTGACAATTGTATCAAAGACTTTTGTTTGTTTGACACTGAATATAATAACTAGATCATGGAAATAAGGAGTGGAAGAGGTTGAACAAGTTAGTTTA